CTGTGATAGCATAGGCTCCCATTGGCTGGCACGCGTCATCAAGGAACGAGGCTCCCATTGGCTCTTGTGCGGCAGTGCGGGCCAGGACCAGGCGGCTAAGACTGCCCGAGCGGCTTTCACCTCCACTCGCTGGGTGTGCCCGCACCGCCCGCCGACGGTGGGGTCTCGAGGCGTCTGGGCGTACCCCCGCTCCTACGAAAAGGAAAGCGACGGCGCGAGATGAAGAGGAGCGGAAGAATGACATTCATAGAACTGCTTAGGTGTCCTCTGACTTTTTCTTCGCGAATGCCACCAGGCGGTGCTCCGGTCTTTGCCGTCCCACCAAATTTCCGTTTCATGAAAAGAATGAACAAAGCCCACCTTAACATCACTGCTTGAGACCTTGATGAAACATTAAACTACCAATTCTCCAGGTGAATGAAAAAAAAAAAAGCGTGAGATTTGTTAAAATTTTTTGAATATTCTTGTTAACCAATTTGTCTCTCCAAGACGTTAAATCGTACAGCTGAATGCCCTCGCGAAATCTCCAACTTTGTTATCCGTGAGGCACTTACGTTTCCTAGCACTGGTAACATAAAACAAGCTCGGCAGACTTGCAAAGACTGAGCGACCGGAAGTCGTTCAGGATACAAGCAGCAGTTCGTGTTTGTAAACAGTAAGAGTTTCTATTTGCGACTCTAGCGAACTATAGGGGGCACGCTGGTCAGGCAAAATGGCGGACGAGAGGAGGTCGTTTTCGTCGTTCAGCACGCAGACCACCATAAATTTCTTGCTTTGCAGCATAAAATCGCTGTTACATATGAAAGCAAAGCGATTTTTCGACGGTACAAACCTTCTTATACTCAGTGCATAGGAATGACATGGCAGAAGCATAAAAATAGTTACTGAAAACAATGTTTGTTTCAATGCTGCCTTTGGGAACCAAGCTGCGATAGCAAACAACAGAACCGAAACGACCACCTCTCCTGAGCTTCTCGGCGTTGCCTCTACGCGGCGTCAGTTTCGCTGGAGTCGCCAATAGCCGCAGAGCTACTTGCACTTTTTTTTTTTTACTACTGCTACGAATTAGTCAATGTTTTTATTTGAATGCAAGTGCCGGCGATGGCAGCAGGTTTGGATAAAAATAATAAATTTAATAATAAATAAAAATGAAATGAGAGATAAAATAATTAAAAAAAAGATTTTTGTAAAAAAGAAAAAATATATATAAATGAAAAAAAAAAAAAAAGATAATAACAAGATTGAAGAATATATCACAAACTACACGCGGGGCGTAGCTTGTGTGTAGACACAAGCTACGCCCTGCATGTAGCTTACAGGCTTACACGCGGGGAATTATACAGGCTTGGTCATGCAGGCAAATATTCTGTTTGTCTGCATGACCAAGCCTGTATAATTTTTCTCGACAAGTGTCAAATCTGGTCTAAGAACGTGAGATTAGTACATTCTTATTTGAAGGAGGCACGCCGAGCATCGCAATATCCCGAGCCATCGCCCATCCCTGAGTTATTGCCCACCCTCTTTTTCTACGAATAACGATTTCTAAAAAACATGGAGTGATTGTCTAACCCTACAAATACCCAATGCGGGCTCCTCGATCCCCGAACATTCACCCTACCCGAATGACGTGGCTGCAGCCCTTACGGTTGGTGGACGTTCGTAACAAAGTAAAACGAAGGAGGGAAAGACACTTCACTCTGTTAACGTATATTATCCTCGATTTCTGCGACCCTGAAGACGAAGTACATGCGTGCAAACGGAAAACGATGGAGATAACAAAATAAAACTGCATTTCTTACAAAAAAGTGTTCAAAAAAAATTTTTTTTTTTTTTAAGTTCTAAAGACAACACACACAGTAACCCATTCAGGCATCGAGAGGTCAGCGAACCCGCTCCTTCTCCCATAACGTCGCGACCGCGATTGGTAAGGTTGTGCAGTGTTTGAGACAGAGCCAACAGGTATATGGGGTGTTTCAGAGAACGCAGGCCAAATCGTTACTGCGAAAACTACTCATCGCTACGAAAAAAGGCTTGTGGCGTTTTGGTCCTGGGCGAGGGGCCCATTTAGGAAAATTATTAAAGTCTGGGATAATTAAGTTAATTATTTTTGCATGATTAAATTTTTTAATATTGTGTTTAAGCGCATGGTTTAAATTAGAAAATTGCTCAGCATCGTCAAAAAACACTAAAACAAGAAATTGCAGAACGATTGAAAGCACGCGAAGCACTTTACGGCTTTCTGAAAAACCGCACAAAATCGACAGGTCTTTAAGTTTCGGTTTGCTATCAGAGCGCATCTCAGCCCCGGCGGCACCGCGCCCCGTGGAGAGATAGTGCATCCAACCTTTGGTGCGCTGTCATCGCGCGACGCAGCAGAGGCTGGTTGCACTATCTCTGCACGTGGCGCGGTGCTGCCGGGGCAGAGATGCGCTCTGATAGCAAACCGAAACTTAAAAACCCGGCGATTTTGTGCGGTTTTTCAGAAAGCCATAAAATGCTTCGCGTGCCTTCTGTCGTTCTGCAGTTTGTTCATTTAGTGTTTTTCAATGATGCTGAGCAATTTTTTAATTTAAACCATGCCTTTAAACACAATATTAAAAAAGTTAGTCACGCAAAAATAATTAACATGATGATGATGATGAGGATGCAGCTTGTTCCCTTTGAAACGGGCGAGCGCGAACTAAGTTCGTGCCCAAGCCTGGGAGCGAGGAGATCTTAATGTCCCCTGAGATAGATCTTATTCCACCAATCTTCAAGTCTTCGTTTAGTGGCCACCACAAGCCTGTGCAGGCCGCTAGAAGGCCCCTTTATCTGCGTAGCTGCAGAGCTTTGTGCATCAGAGTAGTCTGCTTGGTTGCGCCCGATTTCAGTAATTGTGAAGCCCAACGCCTCAGCGAGCACTAAGGGGCTCTGCAGGCGTGGGCACTGAGACGGCTGAAGTCCCGCACAATCGAGCACAACGTGCTCCACCGTTTCATCGTAGCCTCCGCAGACCCGACGTGTGCTCGAGGTCACCGTAGCATCAAACCGGCGTCTGTAAACTAGTGTTCACAGACGCCAAAACGCCACAAGCTTTTTTTCGTTGCGATGAGTACTTCTCACAGGAGCGATTTGGCCTGCGTTCTCTGAAACACCCTGTATAAAGATTTGCTGGAATGGCGCACACAGACGCTTGTAAAACATCCCATTTCGAGCTTCATGTTTGTGTCATTTCGTGTTGCTGCGTTTCCCCACCCTGCAGCAACGCCGCCTCAACCTGTGTTGGTAGCATGCCATGCACGGACACACAAATGTAAAGGAAGTTGCACGAGACCCCACTTCTTGCGATCGACAAGGTGCCCGACTTGGCCCGGCGCCAAAGTATTTGCCAACGCGATCGCTGGCTTTCTTGTTTCCCAGCATCGGTTCTTTCACCCGCTCGTCGCTCCCAAGTCCTTTTTTCCTTTTTTGTTATTAACGAAGAGAACATAGTGGTGTTAGAAACATGCTTTCACGGAACAAACGTTTGCGCTGTATACCAGGCGGCGGTGTTCATGGTGCGTACCGTATTTACACGATTGTTGGTCGACTCGATTGTAAGTCGACCCCCCCAGATCGCACATCAACAAAAAAAAAAAAAAAAATTTTTTTTTTTTTTTAGATGCGCATTTTATTGCGAGCACGTGAGAACGGAAAAGATGGCCGGGCGTTATCAGAACTAGGAAGTTCACGCTGGAGGCGGGACAACTGAAGCTGCTCACTGTCGTTCTCACTCCATCCGCGACTAGACTACGACTCGTCCGCACTGGTGATGTCAGTCCCGTCGTTATCACTGCTACGTTCTCGAAGCACGTCGTCGGCGTCGTCCAATGAAATCTCGCACTTCGCAAATGACAGGATCAACCGCATCTTCCGCGCTTGCTCGGCGATCGCGTTGGACGTCACGGGTAGGGACCGATTGCGCACGTTTGCGGCGTACTGTTGCAAGCCTGACCTCCAACTTCGGAAGGCATCCCCACCTATCCAGACTTTGGCCTGCGGAAGCTTTTTCGTTTGCCGTCACACTTTAAAATTCCGCGCCACCGCAGACTCCACTGGAGTATCACCCACTCCGACGAACTTGCGTCCAACAGCGCAGTTGTTGGTTGCTTCTGAGTGAAGAATGGCCGTAAACAAGCACCGAAAACCTAAACTGCCCGGATCACGCGTATCAATACAAATGAACATGATTCGCGCACCAGCATGATCTTGTACTCGATCAAACAATGTGCGACTGTGAATCGTGCGAAAAACTGCGAAGAGAAGCCGCGGCGCTGCTGCTGTTCCAGCGGCCTCCGGAGTGGCTCTTACGAGAAGTGCCGTCACCCCCCCCGGGAGTCGGGCGCTCCGTGCTGTGTTCACCGCCGTGCATTCGGGTTAATTTGCAAATCGCTACCCATAATACTCGTTCGCGCAAATAAAGAATAATTAATTTGTAAAATGAGCGTACAAAACAGTGTAATGCTAGGGGTACAGCCAGCAGAACCCGTAGCAAGCCGAGGTGTCCATGATATCGCGATTGTTTCGTTTTTGCCGGCAGTGGAATGGTTTGGTTCGATTATAAGTCGACCCCCCCCACTTCAGATTTTCCAAAATTGAAAAAGGGTCGACCTACATTCGTGTAAATACGGTATGTAAGCAACGGACCTTGCGATAGTAAAATATTCTTTCATGAGCATTTCTTGCATAAAACGAAACTAAATCAAGTTTTGAGTTTAATGTATTACTTCTGCAGCCGTGCTAGATGTGTACAGAAAAATTCTAGTTTTTCTAGCTGCTTCTGAACTTTTTGTGCTTACCCATCGAGACATGGCCCACCCCACTTTTTTTATGAATTTAGGCAGCAGGGGGGTGGGCAATGACTCAGGATATTATGGTAGTTGTTTCATGAAAGATGCACAATGTTCTAAAATTTCCGGGAACCACTTGGCTGAGTTGTCTTAGTCGGCTCGTCCTAAAGTCTTGTCTCCCTCCTGCTGCAGGAGCAGCAGCTGAAGCAGCAGCAGCTGAAGCGTCTTCAGCAGCAACAGCAGCAGGCAGCCGGTGGGGCCCAGGCAGGGGCGAGCGGGGCCTCCCCCGGTGCGGGCCAAGGTGGCACCCCGGTGGCCCCTGCCCCCACTGCCAAGGTGGCGGTCTCGGTGGCAGCCCCCCAGCAGAGACCCCTGCAACAGCAGCAGCAGGGCACTAAGCAGCAGCAGCAGCAGCAGGGTCCCGGCGGGGCGTCCTCCCAGCAGGCAGCAAGCAAGCCCCTGGCTATAACCCGCCCCATCACAGATGCCGAGATGCAGCAGCTCTTCAAGAGGCAGGAGCTGAGGAGCAAGCAGGTGGGCGACACCGGGCAGAGCAGCTCAGCTCCGCAGAAGTGATGTGTTCACTTCGTCAAGGCAGTGCTGTAACGTGGTGTTGCTGAATGCGTGGCATTGATAACGGTTCCATGTTCAAGGCATATAGCTTCGATGGTGACGTAACACTGGTGACATCATAGTGTCACCTTTGTGATAGTTTTTGACAGCCCATGCCTTACGTTCTAGCTCCTACGTGACAGGCTGTATGGCACCTCTGCATCAAGCATGGCAGCACCCTGACCACCCCGTGTCTCCTCCCCCTGCCCAGATGACTCAGGCTCAGGTGCACCTGCTGGCCCAGGCGCAGCAGCTGCAGCAGCAGCAGCAGGCGGCGGCAGCGTCCCAGCAGTCGCTCACGGCAGGGGTTCAGACCCCCGTGGCCACATTGGTCAAGACAGTGTCTGCCCCCTCGGCCCTGGGCACCAGCGCCGCCTCGGTTACCATCCCGGTGTCCGCCGTCACCATGGCCGGCGTTAACATCAACGTCAGCCTGCCACAGGTAGGGGGAACCGTAGGAGCAATGTGTCCCATCTCGGCTTTGCTTCTTTTATCACTTCAGTTACTCGTATGTTGTGAAAGAAAGTTTCCTTTTCTTTTTAAAACAATGTGGTTTATGGCTCGTTTCCTATGAGAAAGTATCATGATTGAGCATCATAACAGGCATCGTGAATGAGCGACACGCTGGGAGCATTGCAGACGTTAAGGATATGTATGAAGTCTGAACCCCGGAGGGACTCCAATCCTGGATGGGCGTGACGGAAGTCGGATGCTATATAGCCACTGAGCTTGTGGGATGGTCACGGGTGATGGTAGCCAAAGGGCTCAGCAGCGGCCTCTATTGGGGAGACGCCAAGTCTACTCCCACACCTCGCAGCTTTCTCTCGAGAACACCGCTACGGGTGGGTCCGAACATCAGCCGCACATCTGATCGCTTCTTTAAGAAAGAGGTGCACGTACCACAATAGGACTGGGTCCAACGGTGTTTATTAGAACACCAAAAAACTTTCATCCTTTTCACTCCGGTGAAGAAGGAAGACCAGTGAAGCTGTACTATGCCGGCCGCAAGTTGCCAAGCCAGAGTGGAAAGGCTCGAAAGGTTGCCGCCGTCGCTCATAGATGGCGGTAGCTGTGCAGAGTTCTGTGTCATCAGGTCATTCGAGGACAGACACGATCCTGAGAAAACCAGCCCTTAGCAGCTATGCTGTAAAAACACACTGTCCCAAAAACCCCCGCGCTGACAAGGTCAGACCCCTGTCGACACCATCCCGAGAGTGCAGTCCAGAACCGAGCAAAGGAAAACCTTCGCGACACATTCAATCTCTATCGCTTCCGTGGGAGGAGTCCCTCCATTTCCAGAGTCGGGAATGCGCGTCGACCTCCTCCCCCCGTGGGCATCATCCTCACCCAAAACAACTAGGTTCCCCGATGAGTGGTGGGATGGAAAAGGGACCCCACGGGAGAGAATGATAAGAGGAGGGCCCCCCAAGGCGAGGCGACTCTTTTCTAGCTACTAACTGAGGTGCTGAGGAGTAACCAAAGGGTTATCTCAAGATTAGCGGTGATCTCAAAGGAGACCTCAAACCTAGTACAGTCGAATCTCGTTATTTCATACTTGTGGATAATTCAAACTAACATGCAGGTCTCATCCTATGCGTCTCTATGGTAGGAAACTCCCGGTAATTCAAACTTTGTTTTATTCAAACAAATTTTCGATCCCCCTCGAGCTTGAAATAACAAGATTTGACTGTAGTGTGGTCCTCACATCTCGCAGCAATATAGACAGTGTTTAGGGCTATGTTACCGTGGGTCAGTTCGATAGATGCCTTCGTCGGTGTCGATGAGTGACCACATTGTCTTGCGCTCTCGAATGTGGTGGAAGAGAAGATACGCGTACTGGGGTTAGGACAGAGTCTAAGGGGATTTATTAAAACACTCTCCTATACGAACTCATCTCGTGTAAGAGCAACACTCTTTTTTTTTTTCTTTTCACATTCAACGGTTGATTTTTAAAGTGCTACCCACGCACAAATAAAAAAATAAATAAAATATATATACAGTAATTCCTTGTTATAATGAAGTCAGCAGGACGGCAAAAAATTTTTATATAAGCGGTAATTCGATAAAAGCGATAGAGCCATAAAAAACAGTGCCAGCAGACGGAAACACTGCAGAACACTCTGACCGTATAATTAATCACGCAAACCTTGGTTAGGAACATCTCGCGGCAGCTTTACCAAGCAAGAAAGGAATTAAGTTGAGTTTGCCGATAATTTCGGCCGGGCTTTGGTTCTCCTCGAACTGCTTCTGGCATCGCAAGCAACTGTCACCGCCGCTGCACTCCACTTTGTCTCCAAGCAGCTGTAGGATGTTTTGCGTCTCCGCAGTGGTCGGCATTTCCCGAGGTGCCTCTCTGACGTCCCTTTGTGTTTACCCTGGCAGCACGCGAGGTCTATCATCGCAGCATCCGTGTCAGGAGCAACAACGGGAATGTCCGCATCGACAAGCGCGAATGAATCAAAGTTGTTCTTGGTGGCTTTGCCAACATATTTTCACACACCTGTATAGACTATTGCAGCTATGAAAATCGTTCGCCGGTTCTGCAAGTATGCTGGGCAAAGGAAATCAATGTGCCCAAAGCAGTTGGCGAAGAGCGGCCCCGGGCTGAGGGTCTGACGTCGTGCGGCTTAAATTCCACAGGGCAAGCTGGGCATTCAGAGCAAGCCAGCCACCACCGTGAGCCAGCAGCAGCAGGTGCAGCTGAGGCAGCTGCAGATTCAGCAGCACCTACTGCAGCAGCAGCAGCGTAAGGTCACCCTGCAGACGCAGAAGGTGCCGGGACTCTCGCAGGTGAGACCCCCGCCCCCTCTCGACGGCGCGCCATTCGGTTTAGCTAGACCTTTCAAAACGAGGGACTTGTGCGCAACGTTAAAAAATAAACGTGTGTTCGACTCCTCGGGACGCTGCAGCGAGGGCAACCCTTGCGTCCACTCGCCTTTTTTCTCCGGCACTTCTCCAACCAACTGCCAGGATTGCGACATCCGACGGCGTAATATGCGGGCTTCTGGAGTGCTTCTCCGAGAGTTGGCCATTTTGTAGCGTGAGCTACACTGGCTGAGGTTGAGCAGTTTCGCATGGCTTGGATAATGAGCCGTGCTGCGCATGCATGAGGAGCAGTGACGTCACACAGCGCACAGCTGGCGCGCCAGAGCCGCCGCCGCCGTGCGCTCCGCCGCCGTTGCGCGTGCTCCGCCGCCATTGCGCGTGCCTCGCCGGTCTGCACATTACAGAGGAGTGACGTCATAGCCGCGGCAGACGCACTGGAACCGCTGCGTGCCCAGCTGTGCGCCTCCGTTGCGCAGTAGCCAAGTCTGACGCTGCACCAGAGCCGCTTGATAGCGCCTCTCATTTTGTGCGCATAAGCTCGCGCTACGTATATCCTGGCATAGCCGAGCTAAGCCACCGCAATTTTTTTCACTGTCTTGATACTGGAATAGTAGTGTTGGTTAGAGCCATAGGCACAGACTATGGAAAAGAGGGGGGTGTCCCTAACCCCACCTATAATTTTTCAAGAGGGGCAGAGCCCCCCCATCCTTTGTCGGAGATTGCCGATGTCATGAATTGCAAACTAAAATACTAATTTGCAAGATAATTATCTAAACTTGATTTTTTACTTAGTTGAAGTAAATACTTTAGCTTGCATGGCGTATCTCTTGAAACCAACTGACACCGATTTAAAAAAAAATATATATATATTTTAGAAGGAAAGTGTTTTGAAACCCCGTAAAAATTAACTAATTACTCTTTTAGAGCGCAGCTCTTAGGGGCCCGTTTCCGGCCTACGGCGTCGCCGTTGGTGTAACCGCGAGGTCACGTGACCCCCCCCCCCCCTTAAGGTCACATGATTCCCCTAAGGTCACGTGACCCCCCTGACGTCACACGACCCCCCCTGAGGTCACGTGACCTCAAGGAGTCGCCTATCCCTCAGTACGCTTCCGTCCTCCTCCTCGAGAGCTGCGCTCTAATACGGCATCACAAGGAATTGTAAACGGCTTTCATTTTTTACAATGTTTATGAGTTCAAAAAAAGAAAACATATCTAAAATGGGATTACATTTCTGAAATCAGCAAAACAAATCAAATACCATGCCAAATATAAAAGAGATAAGACTATAAATATGAAAAATTGAAGAAGCCACTTCCTCCCTCAAATCACTCAATTTTAGGACTACCTAAAGCATTTGAGAACCGCAGGTGTGCATTTAAAGAACAAAAAATTATCTTATTAAAAAGTTTTTTTTTTTTAATTTTCAAATGGAAAATGGGGTCCATTTTTTTATAGTTCGTGCCATTGATCCCTGTGACAATTTGCTGGATCGCGCATCCCCGCTTGGTCACTGCAGCGCGAGCGCGGCCACCAAACGGCCAACTTGCATGCAGAAAAATCATGCTTCTTTCAAGCGTTGCACAGGCTGGCGGCAGCATACTGAAGACACGTTTTCCACTCGTTCGTCGTCATTCGCCGAAGAAGTTTCCTAAACCCCTGTGAAAACTGTGAGACTTGCCTTTGAGAACACGTAGAAATTTTGACAAAAGCGCAGCACCGCAGGGAAAAGGCACAACTTGTCGAAAGAAAGTTTCGCCAGTCTCGCGGCATGATCGAAGCTTTTTTTACATACCGAGTGCTGCATCTCTGTACCTTCGCACGCCTGAATACCAATCAAGAATCGACGCCTAGTGGATCTGTTTTGTGAGTGCAATGTGTATGAAGCCGTTTGTGCCTCTGGAACAGCGTTTTAATTTACTCTGACGACTGTATTTGTAACTTGAGGCACTCGCGGTCCAGAAACGAGCTGGATCCAGTGTCCAGTGGTGATGGAGGAGAGGGGAGGGGGGCACAATTTTTTTTTGTTTTATTTACTAGGCACACATGGCAATCAATTGAGTAGAACAAAAATCTTTATTTCTGTTCAACCCGTCGCCCCCCCTTACCTACCAAACACTTCAGATGCCTCTGGCTCCATTGTTCAAAACAGATTCAATCTCGCCGTCTTGTACTTTTGCTTTCGAAAAGCTTCCTTGCTCCACAGCGTTGCTCTATCTGTGCTGCCATGTACTGTTTAATAGTGGATAAGAGCAGCCGTACAGATTGTTTTTTTCCCTTTATGAATAGCTACACGCCGGAACAGGTGGACGATTCAGAACTCCGAGGCCGATATATGATGCAAAGACATCTACGCGCGTTACATCTACAAAACTCTCCCGCGGCGTCGATTCTGGATCGGTATCCAAGTGTGCGAAGACACAGCGAGGCAGCACTTCAGTGTGCCAAGAACGCTTTCATCACGCTGCGAGACCGGCGAAACTTGCTTTCAATGAGTTGTGCCTTTTTCCTGCGGAGCTGCGCTTTCATAAAAATTTATACATGTTCTTAAGGGCGAGTTTCATTGTTTTCGCAGGGTTTAAAAAATTTCTTCGGCGAGTAGAACGCGTGTCTTTAACACGCTACCACCGGTGTCTGCAACGGTCTCAAAAACATGATTTTTCTGCTTGCAAGATGACCGTCCGGTGGCCGCACTCACGTAGCGGGGAAGCGTGATCCAACAATTGTTAGAGAGATCAGTGCTTTGCGCTACTCAGCCCCATGTACTTTTGGCACTGTCAGCCACCATTTTCCCATTTAAAATTTCCGAAAATAGTTTATACCATTTGAATCATAGAACGATTTGTTCTGAAACTTTGGCATCTGGTCTGAACCACCAGTGGCACATTTGGGGTGGAGACAGTATGTCTGGTGATGTGTTGCTTATTTTTGCGATTATAACAACACTAAAGTTTTTTGGGGACATCCTGTATTGGGGGAAAGGGTAGGACGGGCACGTCGGGCGTTCCCCCCTGGGAAATTGAAACCTTCCTGCCTATAATTAGGGTTAATTGTGTCCATAGTGGAACTAAGTGAAAGCCGCCAAGTTCCAGGTTCAATTCTTGTCGGGAATACTTTTGTATTTGTGTTTTAAAATGTCCCCTGGCTTTACACAACTTTAACATAGTTGTAACGGTTGAGTGCTACATCGGAGCGTGGCAGTTTTTTTCTCGAAAACCAGCGTGTCGACACAGTCGGTGTTAAAAAGGTGTGACCGTGTTCCCTTCCCCAGGCCCAGCTGCAGAGCAAGGGCTCCTCCCCGGGGCTGGCAGCCCAGCTGGGCACTGTGCAAATTGTGCAGCAGGGCTCCTCCGGGGGCGCCAAGGGCGGCGCCCTGCCCTCAGCCACCGCCATCACTGTCCAGCAGATCATCAAGCAGGTGCTGCCCGTCAACCAGAACTTCCTGGTGAGCACAACCTCCTCAAGAGCAGTCCATTTGCCGTACCCCGTCGGAGCAGGTGGCGCGGGAGCGGCTCGTTTGCCGTACAGGGCGCGGTTGTGACTTCAAACTTGTGTACTGTGTAGTAGTGTACCGCACAGCACGACTACTCCAAACACGACGCCTGCTACCTTGTTGCGTTTTTATTCGTGGGAGCTTAGTGTTCTCTAATAGCAAGCTTTTCTGGCAGTCCCGCGGAGTTTGTCATAAAGACATCCGAGGGTGTAGTCACAGACAGAATGAGAACGATGGGCACGCCTTTCGAATGCCCGGCCTCGAGCATGTGTTCCATGCCTTCCGCCGCGCTTTGGCTGTGCACAAGCACTCGAGTTGCGCGAGAAGCTTGCCCCGGAGGGGGGGACAACTGAATCCTTCCTGCCGTTCTCATCTTGTCAGTGGCCGTAGTTGCTTGTTCTGGTTTCCAGTCGCATACCTGCAGTCCCAGAGCGTCGAGGGTCTTTCTGCGTGCAGGTGTCGGGTGCGGTGACGTCCGGCGGCACGGTGGGCGGGGCGACAACGGTGAGCCCCGCGACGCAGATGCAACTGCACGCCATGTTGCAGAAGTCCTCCCAGCAGCAGCAGCAGCAGGGGGGCACGGTGGCCACGGTGACGCTGGCCCCCAGCGGCAGCACGGGGGGAGTGACGACGGCCACCCTGGTGCCCACCCGCATCATGACCCTGCAGCAGCAGCCGGGGGCACCCACCCAGACAGTGGCTCTCAAGCAGGGGCTGCAGGTGAGCCCCACCCCTGGCTTGGGGGGGCCACGGAATCTTGCCCTCGTACTACGGAATGCGTCTCCAACTGGGCCGTTTACTGCTTCTAAAAAAATTGAGAGCCCTTCCACCCCGTCAAGAGGGAAGTCCAGCGAAGCGGGTGCTCTGAAGAGTGCAGCATTGTGCCATGTCAGGGGGTGGAGAGACTCCACACATGGCAAAGTGTAGGGGGGGGATAGAGACGTTTTATTATAGCGCGGCTACGCCAATCATGGCGCAGGCTCTAGTTTTCTGCGCCGAAGAACGCACGGTATTGCGCAGTGTCAGGGAGCAAAGAGACGCCACGCATGGCGAGGATTATGCACGACTCGGGAAAGAGGCAGCGGAGAGGAGAATCGTTTGCTTGTCGCCGGAGACAATCTGCCAGAACCTAGCCATAGACAGCTTCGCCGTAAAAAGCGATTTCTCGATCTCTGCCCGACGACGTAGCAAAAGTGACGTGCTGTCACTTTTGCTACGGGGCCGAGCAGGGGTGGTGCATGTGGAAGATGCCTGTCCTGTGGCAGGTCGCTCTCCAGCTTCACATAAATAAAACAAAACTAAAGAGAGAATAAACGGTTTTCTCTAACCTGCACCACTCGAGGTATAACAGGTTTAAATAAAGGCTGTAGAGGTTCAAATGAACCTCGATATTTTAGTAAGAGCACCAATTCATGAAGAATAAAAAAGTGGGTAAGTGAAATTAGTGGGCATTTATTTTATGTATATATCAATATAACTTCCTTTTTTTTTTTTTTTTTTTCTGTGTGTGACGTTTACAGGCATTTAAAGGGGCGGTGCAACAGTTTGCGGACTTTGGCTAATTAATTGCGGGAATTGATCCCGGCCACATATGAAACGAAGGACCGAAAACCATTGTTTCCTACTTGCCATAGTTTTCATTAAAAAAAAAGAAAAAAATTGGTATCGCCGGCACCCCTCAACTCAACATTGAAGCGGCACCAGCTTCGCCTGTGACGTCATTCGGAGTGGCGTTGGTTTCCGGTTGGGTTCTTCTGGCTTCCGTTTCCCCAACGCTCGCCGGCTCGCCAGGCTCGCCGCTCTCCCGCCGATTCCCGACCAACATGGCGGCATGGGCGGACAGCCTGAGCAACGTCGAGCGCAAGATGCTTGCGACGCGGCGGGCAGTCGAAGTCGAAGTCGAGGTCGAGACACCAGGAACAATAACGATACCACGATACTACAGACCACGACCAACGCACTCCGTCGAGCGAGGGAAAGACAAAACGTCCGGGTTGCTCGTGTAGCCGCCGTAGGCGCCTCGGGCGTCGACGGATGACGGCGACGGCCGGTTTGGTTGACTTGCGGTAGATGGCGCCACAAATAATTCATACCCTTTTAGCGGCAATATTAGGCTTTTGAAGCGTTTCTGCATGCCTAAACAACAAGATTTTTTAAAACTTAACCTGAAATCAAGCTTAGAAATGCCTAACACTATCACTTACAAAAACCACTCCGAATGACGTCACACCACAGGTTCCATTTGCGGTCACCATGTGGCCGCAGGTTGGGAAAAAAAGCGTTTTTTATTTTGCGATTACGCAGCGAAATAGAGGTATTTTGGGGTATGGTGGCACTTTTTCTCTTACTTATGCCGAAGTAAAAAATATAAAAAATACAAGCTGCACATTCGTTCAGTGTTAAAATCATTGCACCGCCCCTTTAAGGATATCTTTCATTGTAGCACTATTTATTGCTGGGGAAATGTAAGCTGTGCCTGGTCATTTAGTTTCTGAGGAAGAATGGAATGTTAGATTTAAATTAGTTCTGAGAATATTTTGTTATCCTACTTTTTGACGGTGAGGAAGTACAAGTCTGTTTTTCGGAATTGCCCGTTTTATTCGGTAAATTGCCTTAGGTTTTAGAACATTTCTTTTTTACTAGTATTACTGATTACCTAATTTTTTTTAGGTATTTTTTTTTGTATATCAATAATTGTTTCCAATCATTTTAAGAATTTGTGTTTGTATTTTTCGCATTATTTTTCCCAGTCGACATATTTTTCTACCGAGAATGTATTTCTTTTTCCTGTATTTCCCTAATTGACAGTTGACGGAAGCTTCGGCAGCCAGGGGTCGAAACCCCGTAATATTAACCTTCTTTCATGCTTTTTTTTTTTTCTCTCTCTCTCTTCAGAATTTTGTTTGGTTGTTAGGGTTGCGGCAGGCAACGGTACGACGCTCTTATGACGTCGTCGGGTGAATACTAAGGGACCTCTCTTAAGGGTGTGGTAAAGACGGGCCAGTCGGAGACACGCTCCAGGCACCATACTTGCGTGAAGTCCTCGAGGAGTGCAGGATGCTGGGCACATCGAGGCTCTTGCTAAAGCTGTACTAAATTTTTCCTTTGTGCCGAACCCTGTGAAGCCATTCTCGACAATTCCGTCAGTGGGTGGAAGGAAGCTGTGGTTCCTGTTCGTATTTCATGTCTTGAATTTAGTTTGAACACAACCCTTTACCGACAGGCTTAGATTGGCAGTTGCGATGACAATGTTGAGATGCCCCGGTGTGGGTGTTGCTATGTCGTTTACTTTCTGCGGATCGTAAACATTGTAAGTGTGCCGGCTTCTCATAGCGCTAAAAGGAAATTCATTATGGGAAAACCTTCTTTTTATTGTGGAGTTGGCTTGCTTATTTTTGTTGGAACATTTTTATGGCTTTTGGAGTATTTTGCACTTGCCATTGGTTTTAACTTGCCGTCAGGCTTTAAAATTATCTGTTTCTGTTTGGGGTTTTTTTCACCCTTTTTTTAATTTGTTTGTACGGGCATATCAAGGAGGCGAATTCCTGCTTGTACCATAATTAAGTTTAAATTTTTCTTAGCTATATCTAATATAAACTTGAAGCCAATATGATGCTTCGTACGGAGATCAAACAGTTGGAATCACCTCCTGGTGGATAATGAGAGTTGGTAAGGAGCTCGGACGAATTACTTTTAACGATACAAGTTATGTGCAATACCACTTATGACTTTGGTTATAAGCACTAATAAACGTCCACTTATAATGCAGGTATTATGCCGGCGCTGCCGCATACGTATCCATTGACTTTGGGGTTATTGACGTCATTTGACGCTAAATCTTCCCAAACCGAAGTAAACTCGACTTGCCTTTCCTCGATATGCTCGGGCATCTTACGTTCTTGCCCGTTTTTGTTTGCTTTTTGTTTCCCTGCACCCGTTCTGAACCGTTTGGTTTCAACCTTTGTTTCCTTCCTTGGTTCCTCCCGCGTCCCTCAAGGCGCCCCCCTCGGAGCAAGGCAGCGGCGGCGGTAGCAAGAGGGCACCCCACCCTCCCCACGACGGTGGCAGGCTCTGACCTTAGCCCACCCCCCACCAAACGTACATCCCTCCCCCCCACACCCATGTCAGGTGATAGCCACTTCGTCGGCCAGCCAGCCGGCCTCTGCCACCGCCACCTACACGGTGGAGGGCTCCGGCAACCCCCTGGTGGCCACCATCGTCACCACCGAGGCACCCGCGAAGGCGGTGGACGTCGCGTCCGCCAAGGCGGCAACGAGCGCAGCGGCCGGGGAGTCGGCGCCACCGCCCAACGTGACGGCCCCCTCGGCAGAGGGCGCGCCGCCATCCAGGGCGCCCTCTGTGAACGTGGACGTGAGCGCGGCCACGGTGCAGGCAGTGCAGGCAGCCATCGAGGCGGCCCGCCAGCAGGGGGCACTGCCCTACACCATGCGCCTGCGCAACAACCCTCCCAAGCCGGCATAGCCACAGCTCGATCCGACTATGTGCAAACTTTTCGCCAAAAAGGGCGAGGAGAAGAAAAAAAAATCTGTCGCATCATTATTTTACGGTGAAGCTAGGCACACTGTACGTTACTTTCTTTCTTCTCGTGGGAACACAATCTTTCCTGGGCCTCTTCGATAATCTCGGGACACCTCGAAGGTAGGAGAGGCCGTAGTCTGTCTGCGAGCGGCCGCCCGTCGAGCGAGGGGATCGTTTCGTTTCAAGACCGACGCCGTCAAGGCTGGAACCAGGGTTTCGACGAACCCCGGCTTCGACACGACAGATGTTGGGGACGGATCTGGCGGCATGCGGGACGGCGGCGTCCATAGTTGCAGTGCTGGAACTCGTGGCCTTCTGCACTTTTGTGTGTACATGCGTCTGTTCCTCTGCAGAAAGTTGCGGGAGTCTCTGTGGTTTTCGTTTTTTTCTGGAGGGCATGCCTTTCTCCTTTAGTGTCTTGATTTGTGAGACACAAAAACTGTATTGTTGTATAGCTGAGACTCATCTTGTACATAAAGCCTCATTTCAAACACCAAACAGGGTTTTTTTTTTACTTGTTTGTCACCACCTTTTGTAGATTTTACCGTGTATATATCGTTTCGTGGTAATTTATATTAAAGATAAAACGAGGTGTCTGTACTTTTGTTTCATTACGTGCTGTAGGAATTCGTGGCTTTTGGGGTTTTTATTGTCGTCGGTGGGCCGATGTTGGGGAATCTGAATTTTCAGTGGACGGAAAATAGGGGCACGGTTATACGGCGAGCAAGTCAACCCAAAGGCGTCTCTGAGCATGAGAAAGGAGGATAGAAGGATAGAGATGGATTGATCACGTGCACAACCAAGCCTTGCCTCAGCCAGTGGCCCGAGGAGAGTGTTCCAGACCTTAACTTGAATGGAAACGAGTTACTTTGGCTGGTCATGTCACGTAACAAAGATAGTATTGGCGACGAGATGTTTTAATGGCGCCACCTCACAGGCACCCTCCTGTGACGCAGCTGCAAGCGAGCAGACGACACGCTATGTCAATGCACGGAGTGGCTAGGTTAGTTTGCATCTATGCCAATTAAAAATGGTTTATTTGTTAAAGAAATGCTTATAATGTTTTTGTGAGTGATCTTTTTAATGAATAACAGCACCTCAAAGTTGCATTTTATATTAGAAAAAACTTTAAAATGTTCAAAAACAAGCCTGGCACTTCACATTACAGCTTGCACGGCATATGTCAGGGCTATTTGAAGCCTCTGATTCTTGGTTTTTCAGATCTGTTGAGGCTGCTGTAGGAAAAAGTTTTGCATTCACCAGAGTAAATGCCGTGCTGTCGTCTTAGCTGTGCACACACGCACAATTTTGTTGCAAAGCGCCAAGCACTTGTTTTAGCTACATTGAGCTTGCCGTTACCGACGCCTCTATCCAAGTGTGACTCAACAGTTACTGTCGTCAGCAACTGCTGCATCAAATACGTGGCAAAGAAGTTTGTGTCGCATTACGACTTCTGCTCGAAAGAAAAGCAGAAATGTATGAGTTCTTAAGAGGCTTTGCAACGATATTCGCCTAATGTTTTTCACTTTACACGAGCTTACTGGCACTAGTGCAGAGGTGGAACGGCTGCGCCATTTGCGCCATTTTGCGCCAGACGCATTTGTCTGCGCCATCCTGCGCCATGTAGCGGAAACTGCGCCACAGACAATACCTTGCGCCATTATGCACCAAATCGCAAAACGTGCGCCCAAAAAAATGTATTTTGTCTTCGTTTCGGTTTCTATCGACTCGATTGGCAAGAATGAGCGCGTTTAGCTTGGTCGGCATTGCAATCTTTTGCTCTATTTATTCTCCCTGTGTATCTCGAATCGGAAGCGTGCAAAAAATTTGGGAGTCGGATTCCTAGCGCTACAGCACCTGCGACTGGATTGTTATTCAAACATCAGTGGTTCAGCAAGTCGGCAGAGGTGAGGTTGAGTCGTTCAGGCGTCAGATCGCCTGAGGCTCTGCGGCCGGGGATCCGGACGTCAGCCAGTTGAAAACAAATGAGTAAAAGATTCCTTTTAGTACTTCATCGTTAGAAGTTGGAACCGCATTCCCGGAAGATATATCGTCATTTGATAGAACTGAAACGCGGTCCGATCCGAAACCTTGCCGGCCAGCAGCTCTCACGCGAGGGGTAGATCTGCTCGGCGTACTTTAACCTTGCTCCTGCTTATCGCTTCGAATATGATAACTCCGTTAATCGTAGTCTGCTGTTTCAATATTGAGTTGCACAATAAGATAAACTCGAAATTTGTTACCCTGTTCCTCCACGCAACTGCACGTCCGTTGCTTGCGCACGTCACGTGGCTCGCGCATATAATTGGTATGTTGAGCATGTGTGGGTTGTGCGATATGCAGTGTTTTTTTTGTTTTTTTTTTAATTTCGAGCAGCTGTAAGCCACTCAGAAAATATCAAGGATATAATATCTGCATAAACATATGGTGCTTGCCTTTTTGATCCTCATTAAGGCTCGCAAAGTTTCAAGTTTTCGCATCTGTTACACTGTTATCCCATTTACCTAGGTCCCTAAACACTCATGTTCATCTGTGCTGCTAAGCACAATTGAAATTGCTCCCGTGCTTGTCTAAGACACAAGCTGAAGTGCAGTGAAAACTTATCTGAGCTGCTCCTAGCCTGCTCCAGGTTTTAGCTGCTCCGAAGCTGCTCCAAAACAGCTGTTTCAGCTGCTCCCGTGGCTGCTCCCAAGTACATTTTATGAGTTCCACCCCTGTAGTGGTATCGAAGTATACTCGCACGCAACACCACTGACCAAGAAACTCCTTTCTGGTGTCATTTCAAGGACAGAAGGGAACGTTCTTTTTCAATTTCCTTTGCAAACTTGATGACGTAGCTGAGGGATTGCAGTATCTCCCTGTGACGATATTTGGATGCGGCTCATAGACAACCCGAGCCTTGCGTGAGCACTCGATTTGGGCTCGTGATAACTGATAATCAATAGCTCGACGTGCATTCGGGTAGTGGCCGATGTCCACCCGCTGCAATGACGACAAGAGCCGAACCATAACAATGCCTGGAACTCGGCGCGTGTCATGTGCTTTGACAACCCCAGCGCGTGGCTATGATTGACATTGGTGGCATATAATCTGCTCCAGATCTCATGGCTGCTTGTTCTGGCTGCGAGTTGAGGGGGTGAACACTGCTTGTTTTTCATTCATTTTTTTTTTCCTGCAACTTCTATTGCGTGTGGTGAGAAACGAACGCATGTTTCATAGGTCATTAACATCAGGGGTTTGTTTAAAGCGGTATTTGCACAAAGTACAAAAATGGTTGCATTGCCCCTTTAAAACGTCGGACATGTCTTGCCAAATTCAGGCGAATGATTATTTTGTTCTATCCTATTTTAACTAGGAATTGTTAACAAATTTAAAATCGCTTGCTGAGAAGCACATCACGCATTATGCGCATTTGAGTCCGCAAGACGCTGAAGTGTCACCGACTTACTAGGGGGTCTCACACATTTCGCGTCAACCGGGTGAATAAGCAGGGATTTAGTTTTAACGACTCTGGAAGCCAGGCACCGCTTCTTTCGTCCAGTTATTTTGGGGAAATGCTGGTTTATTGATTTACAAACTTCAAAAAGGAATCAAGTCTGAACTAAGAGACCAGTGCTATGTTGCGCTTTTTGGACTCCCAGGAGACTAGGGAGAAGGAAGTGACGTCAACGACACAGCAAACGCAGATTGGGTGTTGATTTCGTTTTCTTCTGTCAACATCCAATCTGCGCTTGCTGTGTCGTTGACGTCACTTCCTTCTCCCTAGTCCCCTGGGAGTCCAAAAAGCTCAACATAGCACCCCAGGCACTCGCAGAACACATTGGAACAAACAGGATACACAGAGTCTTCACTGAAGTGTTTCACTTGCGAGAGGTTCTCGAATTTTGCTTTTCTATTTTCAATTTGATGAGACATTCCTTTCTTAGTTCTAGTTTGTTTGAATCGTAATAAAAAAATATACCCTATCCTCCGGGGTAGATGTTGTAATGGGATAAAACGCTGAATATTCTACTTTCATCGTCCAGCTTTTTGTACTGGGGTAGAGAACGGCATACCACCATCCGAGCGCTGCAACACCTCGGCACCAAAAATGTTTGTTGGCACAACTATGCGTGCCACGTGTGGATTTAAACTTTGGTAATATGTCCTACTACAAATAACACTTAACCAAATAAACACAGCACGTGAAACGGGCTTTGCCTTGATTATCCAAACTGCGCATGAAGCGAACTGATGAGCCGAGGGATCCATTCCAAGATCTGCGCGAACAACATACAGTTGCGATTCATATGACAGTGAACGCACAATCGTTAACTGCTACGTACTGGCAGCCGTGGGGGTATGTGTTTTGCGAACGAAGTCCAAGTGTGGCAAGACGTAGAAAGCGCCAGTCCATGTTGTACGTCTCTCTTCGTTCGTGTTTTTTTGCACATTTAAGTCCTCCAGATTAAAAAAACCCTAAGAATTGCAGTGCAACCCACTTACGATACCACATAAAACGATGTACCGCTTACAACAATGAGTTTCTAAGTGGAAATGACCTGTTTCTAGTCCAGTTGCAATGATAATCCGTATTTACCCTGGTAACTTTTCGATACTGATAATGTTACTACAGACTTGGACTGACAATGTTCGTAACCTATCCCCGAGTTGCAATTTGTTTGAGCTGCAGGTTCTTCTGGGAGGTACCTGAAGTGCAGTATATATTGTATTTTAAACATACTATATACCGGGTTCTTTTTTTTTTTTTTTTTTTCTCTTTTTCTTTAGCTGCATCAAATTTTCAAAAAAAAGAAAAAGGGAACGTGAGATAGAGTACTTTGAGCCCTGGGGAAGTGTTAGGGGCCGGCTCGCTTAAGCAAGTGGAGCCGCCCTCGATAATGACGAATCGCATACCCATTTGACGCCATTTACCAAAGTGACATTTTTTGACCCCGTAGCGCCTACTAGGAATTTTTTTTATCCAAGTTTGACAACACGACCATACTGTGGTCGATCTTCAATCCTCTAAATACATTATGTGCCCTCAAGTGAAAAATTAAAAAGTTAATTAAAACATTTTAGTTAATTAGCTATACTCCGTTTCACCTTCCGTCCGAGCACAGCGGACGCTAGGAGCCATGCCAGCCAATGCGGCGTTGAGGGAGTGTCATGCGACCTTGAGCTCCCTGTGTCGCCCCGCCCCACCGGCAGGTCACGCGATTATCTCCCGGCGCTGGATCGGCTGGGATGGCTCGTGGCGTCCACTGCGCTCGGACTGAAGGTGGAACGGAGTATAGCTAAATACCTAATTTTACCTTTCTTTTTTTTTTTTTTAGAGGCCGCCATGGCCACTAACACTTCCTCAGGACTCAAATTACTCTATCTTACATTCCTGTTTTTTTTTTTTTTTTTTTTTTTTTTTTTTTTAATAATTTGGTGCAGCTAAAAAAAACATTATGTGTTTACATATATAAACAATTGGTTTATAATGTAGCTTGTGAAGCGAGTTTGTGTTGTGAACGCTTGATTACTACTGTGATTGTGATCAAATCTGATTACCAGTGAGGTGACAGAGCCCTGCACTTGATGAGAATGATAACCAGAAATGTTAACT